GGGAGGAGGAAATGCGAACAAACAGATATGAATGTCCAGCATGGCTATGGGTAACAAGTACATTGATAGAGGAGCAGCCAATTTTCATTTGTAACTTTCAAAAACACACTATGCAACTAACTAGAAGTCTGATTTCGAGATCAGAAAAGACTAGGAGCCCCATAAACAGATGTTACCTATATGGCATATACCCATGTGGCAACCGCCCTTGCACTGTATCTAACTAAGCATAGCTTTTATTTCTTTTGCATATGTATGGTGTGTGCATGAGTCCATCTGTGGAGGCCCAGGGTTGAAGTCAAGACTCTCCCTGATTGTTCTCCATCTTTTCTGCCTAGGCAGGTCTTTTGCTCTCTGTTTCAGGTAGTTTTGTTAGCCAGCTTGCTCTGTGAATCCCGTCCCACCCTGTAAGCACTGGGACTGCACACAGGCTGTCAAAACAACCCGGCTTTTCACCTGGATTCCCAGAAATCCAAACCCCAGCCCTCATGCTAGAACGGCAAAAATGTCTACCTGCCGAGAACCTTCCCAGCTCTGAGCACAGCTTTTAGAGCCATGTGTCACAAACTCTGCACAGACCGCTCACAGTCAAACCACCCAGCACAGTTCCTAAAATGCATAATCCCAGGCCTGACCCAGACTTGGGTATCAGTTGCAACAACAGTAGTCAGGAAGGGAACTGCTCTTTAACCACATTTGTGGGGGGATACAGAGGATATCAGAGAATGACAATTGAAGGTCATGATATCATCAAGGTGAATGGCTAGTCAGGGGAGATCTGAGAATGTTTCCAAAGAGAGGAGAAGGGACAAGTTGGGAAGAGAAAGCACAGAAGCTCATTTGAGAAGGAAGAAGCTTTCTTCCCCCAGAGACATGGTGTAAGGACTCAGGCACTATGCTGGCCTGCCCGTCACCTGGCAGAATGCACTCAGGCAGTGCCCTGGTCAGCCCAGGGTTCCATGACTACTAATCTGCACTCAGGTGCAAAGGACCCCTTTAAGACACACACACACACACACACACACACACACACACACACACACACCGCCCTCTCTCCTTCACACTTTCTTTCTCTCTGTCTTCCCTGCTCTTCCCCCCCCCCCCCCACCTTCCCAGGGTTCCCAAGGCAGACAGGACTTTTCCTGTCTCCCTCTTCTGTCCTCTCTCTGTCTCTGTCTCTGTGTCTCTTTACCTCTTTTCTCTTTCCTTTCCCCTCCCCCCTCCTTTCTAATAAAATTTCACTTGAGCTCTGTCTGCCTGGCATGTTTGTCCCTCACCCTTGCCTGCCATGGAATCTGCCAAGGTTCATTCCCTAAGTTTTGGTGCTGTGATTCAGATTCAAACCTAATACATAGTCCCCAGAAAAGCCAAAGGATCAAAATCAAAAACTGCTCAGACTGGCAAGCAAAGCGGGACTAACAGTAGCATCTCCTAAGTGAACTGGAGTCCCTAGTGCAGCTTTGAGAAAGGACTGGAGTCCTGACAACCCCTCTTCCAGGCACTACAGCTATGGGACTAAAATAAAACATGGATAGCATTCTCATAGCTAGTTAAGGGAACAAAGATAGCTATTTCTATTTAAAAAAAAACTGTTATAAGAGGAAAGATAAAAAGATGACATGTAAAATAAAATTCTCAATAATAATGGGAACTATCTGGCCATGTGACTTCACCTCATAAGTACTCCACCCAGGCTCTTCAGAAACAGATCCTTACCACATGACCCAGCAATTGCACTCTGAGAGCTTTACCCAAGGGAGCTGAAACCATGTCTACACAGAAACCTACACACAAATGTTCACAAATGTTCATTCATAAAAGGGAAAAGTGTAAATTAGCCAAATGTCCACCAACAGGTGAAGAGATAAACAATATGATCAATCCACACAAAGAAATAATATTCAGCCATAAAAAAGAATGAAGTGTTGATACACACTCCAGCACAATAAACTGTAAAGCCATCATGCTAAGTACAGAAAGCCGCACGAAAAAGGACAATTGTGATCCCGCTTACACAAAATGTCCAAAACAGGCAAATCTACAACGACAAAGAAATGGATGACTGGTTGCTTGGTAACCAATAACTAATGGGAAAAATAAAAAGAGTAACTGCTCTAAAGTACACAGGTTTTGTTTCCTTGAGAGGAGTTAAAAATACACGGGAATTGAACAGTACAATAGCTGGCTGAAGAGATGGCTCGGCAGGTAACTATGCTTTTTGCCAAGGCTGATGCTGAGTCCAGTCTCCAGGACTCACATGGAAAGAGAAGACAACTGGCTCCTACAAATTCCTCTGACCTCCACACTAAAGCCAGGACTCAAGCATGCCAACATACATACACATACACGCAAGCACACACACACACACACACACACGTGTATTATATAGACATATAATATATATGTATATATATTAGATAGCTGCGTGGTTTGCATGGTTTTGTGTATACATCAAAAACCAATGACTTGTATTTTTTTTAAAAATAAATAAACTAGGGGCTAGAGAGATTGCTCACCAGGTAAAGCACCTGCCATGTAAATGTTGAGAACCTGAGTTTGGCTACATAAATGCCGAGTGGGCAGGGTCATCTTCCTGCAATTCCGGCTCAAGAGGCAGGGACCAAAGAGACCGGGGATCCCTGAGCAAGCCAGCTAGCTAGTAAGCTCTGGATTCAAGTGAGAGACCCTGACACCAACCCAGGTTTCTACATGCACATACACCTGCACCTATGTGCGCCCATGCACACAAGACCACACATAGACATGTGTGCATATCACACTCAAAAAATGCAATAACAATAATAATAATAATAATAATAGACTAAAACAGTGAATTTGAACCAGATCGTCATGACTCAAGTGGAAAAGAGCATTCGAAAAGAGCATTCGAAAACTTGTAGACACATATGTATCACTACCTCACATGCCCATTAGTAAGCTGCCCTTCTGAAATGGTTATATCAAAATGACACCAGACTAACCAGATGAGACACGTCCACTCACACTCACATGCTCAGAAGAATAACAATGAAAATTAATAGTAATTAAGAGTTATGGCATATTTACTATGTTGTCAGACACTATATTTAGCCCTTGGCATGTATGACCTCCTTTCCTTTTCCCTGCAATCTTTTGAAGTACATACTATCATCATCACCCTCAACAAAGATATGAGGAAACTGTGGCACAAATAATCCTAATAACTCATGGCCAGTCACCCACCTATGTGACTCATCCCAGGTAGCTGGATTCATCAATACATTGCTATGCTGCTCCAACTGACTAGATCTTCCTAATTTCTCAACATGCCCTCCTAGATAGGTCCTTGTGTATAGCCAAGGTTGCTTTGAAAACCTGAATCTCCTGCCTGTTTCCCAAGTGCTGAGATTATGGTGCCTGGCTAACCTTATCTTAATAATATTAATAATTATCACAAAATTCATGAACTTTCATCCACTGGACAGAAAGCAAGACAGAAGAATGCCTCCATTTCAAAACAAAAGTTACCAGAAGTCTAGCAATTCTAAAGCAAAAGCAATGGAAACACCAAAAGCTGTGTCTGAAACTAAATTAATTGAAGGCTATGTTTCATAATAACCAAGAGCCTGGAGTGCTAAAATAAAATTCTACACTGTTACCTACTGCCTTTTAAATTTAAGGTAGGCAATTCAGTTTCTCCCCACACAGAGTAGGCTCAAGATCTAAGTGAGAGGGCCATTAGCAAAACAACCAAACATATGTATGGTAGTCCAGAGGGGTGGATCTCTGTGAGTTAGAGGTCAGCCGGATCTACAGGTCTGTGTTGTGTTGCATTGTGTTGTGTGGATATATGTGCATATAGATAGTGTCTTGTGCACCTAGGTATATTCCTCGGAATACCTGTGTGCTCACCAAATAACGAGATGATAAATTCCAAGGCCTAAATGACAGGAGGAAGATGAAAAATGGCAAGACTACTTGAAAACTAGCAGAAGGCAGAAGGTCAACAATGGCCTCGAGCCTGGAGAGACTAAGACTGGATTGTTCCTACAGTGACAAGAACATGGTGCTTACTGCTCCGGAAAATACAAGCAGACAGGCAGGATGAGGTTATGTAACTCTCTGGAGTCAGGGGAAGTGCCTGGACTTGACAGAATAAGTAAAGGTAAGTCATGATTCAGAAAGCTGTACAAGCATTACTGTATTTGTTGCATATTCCTTAAAGAAGCCTGGCTTCCAAAGCTTGTTCACCAGGCCTGGAATTCCAACCTACATCCCATGCCCTAATTTCATTCTAAATATTCTGTTCCCTGAGGCACGATTTGGTGGAACTTTGATTTCAGCAAACTCACCATAGAAAATCATTTTAAGAAAAAAATAAAAATCAGGGTAACCCCCCCCCCAATAACCCACACTTGGATTGGATATGTCTTACTCCTGAGTGCCTTTTTCTCCTACACCTGAAGTATCGTTAAAAAAGAAAAACCAAGCAAATTTGTAGGGTTCCTTCACAAACCTTCTTTTAGCACATAGCTAATGAGCATTAAATTTCCTCACATTTCACAGCCTAAGGTTACAAAAAAACGGTCAATAGGCTGTCCCCCGGTACAACACGCAGTGTTTTTATCACGAGAAAGATGTCCTTAAGCCCAGTCGAAGAACTCGACTTCTTTCGGTCATGACATTGATAGCCAAACTTTTTTGCTGAGTGACACAGAAACCCACATTCATCCGATGAGACACCCCCCCCCCTGGAAACTTTTCTACCCAGCCCTGTCCCTGCACCAATCAGTGACATTTCCCAGGGGCATCAGCTGCCTCTGAGGATCTGAGCTTTCTGAGCCCCACAAAAAAATCTGACCCAAGGATATGAAGCTTAAAAACGTCTCAGCGGAGATGTGTCGCGATGGGGCCAAGGGGGCTCGGATGGCGCCGCGGTGTGACCTCACAGGACCCCCTTCCCGGTTCAGAGGACACCCGGGTACCCACCCCGCGCGGCCCGAGCCCGCGCCGGTACGCACCTGACCAGCGGCTCCTTCTCGGGCCGCGCGGGCTCCTCCAGGCACCAGCACCGGCAGCAGCAGCAGGCGCTCCGTAGCCAGCGCCGCAGCCCCATGGAGAGCGAGGGCGGACACCGGGGTCCCAGAGCCGGGCGCGCGATGGCAGCTGGGGCGCGGGGACGGGGGTGGCCGCGGCGTCACGGGCCAGGCCGTGTGCATCACGCCGCGGCCGGGGGACGCGAGGCGCGCGTTTCTGCGGGAGCTTTTCGCTCTCTCTTTTAATTCCCCGGTGCCGCCTGAGCGCATGCGTCCCGCGACGCCCTGCTGCTGCCCTCTAAGGAGCGAGCGCGCTCCAGTGGCAGCGCGGAACCCGGGGGTGGGGGGTGGCCGCTGGGCACCCACGGGGTCTGCAGCACGAGGTCGAAGCCAACCGTCCTTTTAATGGGCTTCTCTGCGGAAGTGAAAGGTTTCCCACAATACAAAGCTTTGAAAAAGTTTTTTTTTTCCTCCAAGCTTTCAGCCCTTACACAAAATAATAAAATAATAATAATAATAATAATAATAATAATAATAATAATAATAATAATAATAAAGCAATCGTTTGTTGAGTTCTGGGATTGTTTTTTTTTATAGCTGATATTTATGATAGTGGTTTTGTGAGCTACCAAGTAGGTAGGTACTGGGGAGAGTGTGGGTCATCTGCAAGAGCAGCAAGTGCTCTTAACCACTACTAAGTCATCTCTCCAGCCCCCCAAACCCTCCTCTTTTTGTTTTGTTTCGTTTGGATGGTTTTGGTTTTTCCAGGCAGGGTTTCTCTGTGCAACAGCTCTGGCTGTCCTGGAACTCTCTTTTTAGATCAGACTGGCCTTGAACTCACAGAGATCGGCCTGCCTCTGCTAAAGGCAAAGGCATGCACCCCCACACCAGGCTGACCTTTCTTTTTCATGACCAAACAGAAGCTTACCACACCCATTTTAAATTATAATTACTGCCCCCTCCCTTTCTTCCCTTCAGCCTTTCCTATGCACACATTTTTGTGTCCGGCTCGTTTCACTCAGTGTCATTCAGGCTGTACTATATCAGTGTGTGTCCCTTTTAGTCTTCCTGCCCCAGACATGTGATACAATCTCATGAATGCCAGTGTGTTATTTAACCAGACTCCTGCTGTTGGACATGCAGGCCAATCCCAGCCTTTTGTACAAAGGCAGAGCCATGGTGCACACCCTTGAGCATGTACTTCAGTGCTTCTACATCAACTGAGTATTTGGTGGTTGAATTGCTGTGTCATAAGATAGATGCCTCTTTAATTTTGATGAATCTTGACAAATTTTTCTCTCCAGTGAACAATTCTGGTATATGAGTGTCCTTTCTTTTGTTTGTTTGGTTTTAGTTTATTTGTTTGTTTCTTGTCTTTGCTAATCTGATTTATTTGAGAAACATTATCAACTATGTGCTAGGCATGTTTTAGGACATGTGAATACAGTAGTGAATAAAACCAGCAAAAAGTCCATACTCTTGTGAACATTTCAGAGGAAGAACTGGAAAAGTATTTACCAAGTATGCTAAAAAGTAGTATTTTTTAAAAAGGCAGAAGTGGAGAGAACAAGTTGCCACGGAGCAAGGTGTGTGTGTGTGTGTGTGTGTGTGTGTGTGTGTGTGTGTGTGTGTGTGTGTAGGGGTCACAACAGACTGTACCCCTGACCTACACCCCCAGGCTCCCAGAGTTTTGTTTTGAAAAGGTCTCAGGACTTCAAACTTCCTATATAGCTGAAGGTGACCTTGAGCTATATATCCTCCTGCCTGGACCTCTCAAGTGCTGAAATTAACCCATGTACTGCCACATCCAGTTTATGCAGGGCTAGGGATCAAACTCAGAGCTTTGCTCTCATTAGGCCAGCACCGTCCCAGCCCATGGACTGTGTCTTTTTAATGACTTGGGTCAAGAGGTGAATATTCAGCCCTAATAAAGATCCTTTCCAGTTTATGCCTACTTCCAAATTACTAATATTTTCTCTCTAATTTGAACTTTAAGACATAAATGAAACAGTTAACGTTCCCTTTTAAAGTGCATTTATTACATATTTTAAGGGGGTGGGGTATGAGTGCCCTGCAACACATATGGGGGTCAGAGGACAACTTGCAGGAATTGGTTCTCTCTTTCCACAATATGGGTCCCAGGGATCCAACGGAGATTGTCTGGCTTTCCCCATCACAGAACCACTGAGCCTGTGCCATGTGCCCTGGTTCTTTAAGGCTCATCACCTCAGTATCTGTCAAAGGTCTTCCTGGGAACTGACTCCCTTCCTGTTTCTCTCATTTTGAGGAGTTACAAGGAACCACAAACACTCCTCCTCCACCTTCAGCTGTTTAGCTGAGCACATCTGACAGTCCATTTCCCCTTTCAGACATCCTCACAGGGCAGCAGCCAGACTCCCTTTTCAGACAGGAGCTCCACTACTCCTCTGCCTGAATTGACGCCAGCCTGCATCACCAACCACACACAGGAGCATCTGACATTTACCAAGAGCCCCTGGGCACCTGATGCTGGGGGAGTTGGCAGTCCCCCTGGGGCAACTGGTGACTCACAGAGCCATCAGCTGCTTGTTTTCAAAGCAGAGCTAGGAAAGAAGCCAGCCTCTATTTTCAGACTACTCTGTGGCAAGGAAAACCCTGAGTCTGTTTTGAAAACAATTAGTATAGTTTGGAGACTTCTCTCACAACCCCCAGCCTTTAGGAATTTACTGACAATTACTGAGACTTGGAGGGGAAAGGGGGTTCATGCAGGAGGGAAAATAAGAAAATTCAAATATTTAAATGCCAATGCTTAACCAGTATATTCCACCAAATATCTTTAGGGTTTGCATGGGAAGCTCTGTTTAATTCTGATGGCTCTATTTAGGAGTTGTACCCCTACCAGGAGAGATAAGCTACAGCACAGTGGAGGACTGACATGGTTTAGAGAAATCACACCAACAAGTCCCATAAGGGCCAACAAGATGGCTCAGTGGGTAAAGGTGCTTGCTGCCAAACCTGACAGCTCAAGTTTGATCTCCAGGACACTCATGGTAGAAGTGAACTGACTCCCAAAAGTTGTCCTTTGACCTCCATTTACATATCATTGCATAGTGTGAGTAAATGCACACACACACACACACACACACACACACACACACGCACGCACGCGCACATATATATACCCATGGCTAAAAAGATGGATTAGCAATTAGGAACATATACTGGTTTTGCAAATGATCTGTATTCATGAAGTTCCCAGCATACCTGTCACACCACTCACTCCCAATCAAGGGGAATCTGATGCCACTGGCTTCTTTGGGTAAATGCACTTACTCACATGTATATCACCCACACTCAGATATGCATACTTATACACATAATTTAAAAAATTAAAAAACAGACGTGGTGTATGTGTGGTTTTTTGGTTTTGTTGTTATTGTTTGTTGTCTTTTGAGACAGGGTTTCTCTGTGTAGTTCTATCTGACCTGGAACTCACTATGTAGACCAGGCTAGCCTCAAACTCAGAGATCCACCTGCCTCTGCCTCCTGTCTTGGTGGTGTATGCCTTTAATCCAGCACTCTAAAGACAAGATTTCTGTTTGTTTAGGGCAAGCCTCATCTACATAGAGAGTTCTAGGCCACCCAGAGCTACATAGCGAGACCCTGCCCCAACAACAAAATGATCAAATAGTAATGATAATAACTGAAAGCTGGAGAGATGGCTCAGCACTTAAAAGAACTTACTTCTCTTGCAGAGGACCTACGTTCCCAGCACCCATATTGTCGCTTGCAACCACACTTTTAATCCCAACATTAGGGAGATAGAGGCAAGAGGGGGGTCTCTGTGAGTTCAAGGCCAGCATGATCTACAGAGTGAGTTCCAGGATAGCCAGGGCTACACAGAGAAACGCTGTCCTTTTGAATTGTTTGGTTGGTTGGATTTTGGTTTTTGGCAAGAAGGGGGGTTAGACAGGGTTTCTCTGTAGCTCTTAGGAGCCTGTCCTAGAACTTCCTCTGTAGACTAGACTGGCCTTGAACCTACAGAGATCCCTGTTGTCTGCCTCCCAAGTGCTAGGATGAAAGGCATGTGCTACCAACCCCCAGGGAGAAACCATGTCTTGGGAAAAACAAACAAGCAAGCAAAAATTGTGCACCACTATGCCAGCTGAGTTACTTATTTTTGCATCTACAACATCCCTCATCTCTCCTCTGTCTTCTTTTTGAGCATCCTCAATTCCATGGGTTTCACATGACTGAAGGTACCACCCCTTGCTCCCTCACCTCTACAAGGAGCTATGACCAAGGAGTCCAAGCCAATATACCTTCCACAGTTCACGCCTTAGACACCAGGACCCAATGATGGAGAATGCTTGAGGTTAAAAGATGAATTATTTTCGGGAAGTCCCTTGAAGAGGAGACTAAAAGCCCCAAGCATTCCTGCTGCACTTTTCCCATTCTCAATATTCTTTTTGCTTACCAGGGACAGTGTCTGCTGCATTCAAGTGTAACTCTTTACGGTCCCATCAAGGGACTAGGACAGGAAAAGAATCAGTGTGATGCTTAGGCATTGTCAAAAGCACGAAGTCAGAGTTAGTCTGACAAGATTTGTACTGTTTCTCAACTTGGCTCTTTCACCCTACAGCCCCATCACCCTGTGTGTCCTACAATGCAAAATACATCCTAAATTCCTAAGCCCTTGGAAAGAAGAGAAAGAATTGAAGGGCTAGGGATGTGGCTCAGTGGTAGAGTAGATACCTATCATTTAGAAGGCCCTGAGTTGAATCCCCAACACGGGGGGGGGGGGGGGGGGGGGAATATGAGAAAACATAAATGGTACTAAGAGAGCCTTATTCATGGTGTATCCCTGGCTGTAACTCACTCTGTAGGCCAGGCTGCCTGGAACTCAAAGAGATCCCCCTGCCTCTGCCTCTGCCTCCCTAGGATAAAAGGCATGTGTCACCACTGCCCAGAGAAACTTGATTCTTACCATTAAAACCATCACTGCATAAAGATCAGCTGCTAACTACCAGTGGTACCAGAGTTACACTCAAACTGGTAGAAGTATAAAAGGCAATGTAGCCCCTAAGAAACCCAGAAGGTCAGAAGTAATTCTGTCCATAGACATCAAAACTAGACCCTGGCCCTAGAGGAAGAAAAGTTGGTCTGCTCTTATCCTGGGCTGAATTGATGCCATTCTCATGCCTCTGGTAGTTTTCAATTGATGGAGGATGTCATTCTGTAAATATGTTTCTCTTATTGGTTAATGAATAAAGCACTGTTGGCCAAT